TAACCAATGGACACAGACAACAGTGTGGGAAAAGGCGGGAGGGCGGTGGGAGTGGAGAGGAGGGGGGTCAATGGGGGAAAAATGAGGAACATCTGTAATACATTCAACAATAAAGATTTAAAAAAATACTTTAATGCAATCTGAAAAAAATAAAATAAAAACAAAAACCAAAAACCTGTTCATTGCTCATGCTATCTAGAAATACCACCTCCTACCCTCCCTTGCCATTCTCATTTATTCTCTATTCACTAAAATTTTAGCTCACAAGACATCCTTTCCAATCAAACTTAGAAGGCTGTCCATACGGCTTAGACTTTTCAGTTTTATTCAAATTACAAAGCACGTGGTTGGTGCTCAAGAAATATTTATTGAATGAATAAGTGACAAAATGAAATCTGGGGCATGGAGCAAAGGGAAGCTGAGATTGAAGTCTCATTTTGGGGCTATGTCCTTCCCAATTTACCAGACACTGATAAGGGTACAGGGCATGTTGAATCTCATCCTTGGGCAATTACTATCATTCCCACTTTATAGTGGGAAACTGAAGCTTAGCAATTAAATAACTCACTCAAGATTACAGCTAGTAAATGTGGAATGGGCTTTAAAAATTCATGCCTGACTTCACAGCCCATGTTTTTAACCCCCCAAAACCACTGCTCCTCCCTGAACAACAGAGCTTGCAGTTAAAAGGCAAGGTTTGTACAGCACACTGCATCCAAATAGTCTGAATAATTGTCACAGTGCTGACAAGTGATTCTGTTATGCACATATAAGCAGCAGGGAATTCTCAAAAGAAACAGGAAACAATCATTCCACAAAGACATAATTAAAAGAATATAGTGAAGATAAAAAATCCAAAACATCTATTTCTAGATTTTTTGAGTATCACTGGATATAGAGATATTTCAAGAACATTTGTTCTTGAATGAATGGAAAACACCTGAGGTGGAAAACACCTGAGGTGGAGAGAGAATTGTCATGTAGCTATGTCTGTCCTTCATTCTCAATTAAGGGTCAGCCAACTACGATTTGTGGGTCAAAACCAACCCTCTACCTGTTTGTTGTATGGCCCGTGAGTTAAAAATGTCTTTTTGCTTGTGAAGTCATGATCTCATTTTACATTGATATTAAAATATTTTAACAGCGGTGGGGAAAAAAAAGTCTTTTATTTACATTTTTAATGGTTGGAGAGTATATTTCATGATACATAAAATTATATGAAATTAAAATTTCAGTGTCCATAAATAAAGTTTTATTGGCATACAGTTATTCTCATTGCCTATTTGCTGTCTATGGCTTCTTTCATGTTACAACAGAAGAGTTGCATAGTTGAGACAGAGACAATAAGGCCTCCCAAACCCTAAATTATTGACCATCTGGCTTTTTACAGTAAAAGCTGGTCAACCCCTGCTATGGATCATTTCTTCTAACTTATCTTCCAGTTCAATAACTCTGTCTTCAGTTGTTTCTAATCTACTACTAAATTCTATTGATTTTGCCTTGGCCAGTGTGGTTCAGTTGGTTGGAGCATCATCCCTTATACCAAAAGGCTATGAGTATGATTCCCAGTCAGGACACATATCTAGGTTGTGGGTTTGATCCCTGGTCAGGGCATGTATAGGATGCAACTGATCTATGTTTCTCTGTCACATCGATGTTTCTCTCTCTCCCCTTCCTCTCTCTAAAAATCAATAAAAACATATCCTTGAGCCCTGGCCGGTTTGGTTCAGTGGTTAGAGGGTTGGCCCACAGACCAATGAGTCACAGATTCGATTCCAGTCATGGGCATGTACCTCAGTTACGGTTTGTCCCTGGCCTTGGTCGGGTCGTGTGGAAGGTAACCAGTTGATGTGGTCTCTATCACATTGATATATGTTTTTCTCTCTCTCTCTCTCCCCCCTCCCTCCCACTCTATCTTATGATAAATAGAAAAGTATCCTTGAGTGAGGAATAATAAAAGTAAAAACAAAACAAAACATATCCTTGAGGATTAAAAAGAAAAATAAATAAATCCTATCGCATTTTTAATCTGGTCACTGTATTTTTTAATTCTAGAAGTTTTTCAACTTAAAAGTTCTTTGTTTTTCAAATCTAATATTTTACTTTGTATAGTTCCCTATTTCATGTATATAGTTTAATCTTGTGCTTTCTTTAACTACAGTACATATACTTGCTTTATAATCTGTGCCTGGTAATTCCAATGGCAGAAATCTTTGTGAGTCCCACTCTGTTTTCTGCTGTCTTTCCATGTTCTCACGAATAGAGCCCTGTTTCCTTGTGTGCCTAGTTATTTCTTACTGTCAGCTGCTCACTTCCTCAAAAAGTTATCTGTGAGGAATTCACGTCTTTCTCCAGAAAGGGTTTGCATTTGCTTCTGCCAGGATGTGGAGGCACTGCCTACCTGGACTACCTTAAATGAGTTCATAGATCACCTGAGTGATGAGAACTCTGGCTGTGAATGTCAAGTGTTCTGTTCTATTAACTTACTGTCCTGATCCACTCAGAGCTCTGGCAATCTTTCCTGTAGACCTGGTTTGGGTACGCAGCCTTAGTTCTAGTTTCTCCTTATGTTGAGTCCTTTGGGGTTCCAATTTACTATGGAATGATCAAAGATGGAAAAATGAAATATAACAGACCTGGAGACTAGAGTGAAAAGGCCTGACATTTCATCAGTGTTTCAAACGCCAAGTAGAGAGAGAGTAGAGCAGAGGCAATATTTAAAGAGAAATAGCTGAAAAATTTTCAGAACATATGAATTCTTATACTTAAGAAGCGAAATGAATCCAATCAAAGTAAATGAAAACAAATTCTTACATTTGTATGCTTATTCATACTTTGTAGAACCCTTTCTTTTATTCTTCATAAAACCTTAGCAGTAGGTATCATTATTACATTTTTCATAAGGAAAAACTGGGCTTCAGACATCTAAAACGAATTAGCTGAGGTCCTTTCATTTTAAGCAGCAGGGGCAGAATTCAAATCCAGTTCTGATCCAAGTTCAACTCCTTTCCTATACACTAGAAATAGAACACAACACAGCAGAGAAAGACTTTATAAGGGTAGATAGAAATATTGCTAAGGAACAATCCCTTAAAAACAGAATCCCTAACTTGGAAACTTCTCCCTGGAAGCACGTAAAAACCTTTCCCACATATCTGGGCTTTCTTCTGTAGGCAGCATTAGATCTGTAGTAAGAATGTAAAGTTCTACCTTGTACATGAAATTGTGAGTTAACTCAAATGAGGTCAAGCCAGTTCCCTGGGCTAAAGACAAAGTTGACTCAAAAGGTTCATGGAACCAGCCAGATACACAACAGCCTGTGAACCACCCAGCTGTCAGGACGGCAGGGTAGGAGTGTCCTCCTAGCTCCCCTGCTTCACCCTTGAAGACAGTTTAAATACTGCAGTTAACATGTCCCATGTAACATGTCTTTTGTTCAGCAATCTGATTCAACTTGGTAATAACTGGTGATATTTCACTTGCTTGTAGCTTATACTTGATTCCCTGCCCCCCCACCCCCAGCACTAAATTAAGAATTCTCTAAAAGTGAAGCCTGTGGCCTTCTGGCATAATCAAGCCCCATCCCCAAGGATGTTAACGTGGAGCCTGTATCTCTCTACTAGTTGGGTATAAAGAGAAGACCACTCTTCCTCATGGCTGCCTCCATGATGTATAAAAGCTGGGAGAACTACAACTCCTGAACTCACAGCATGAAGCACCAGAGCCGAGAAGCCAGATGCCAGGAAAGGGGCTCGATGCCAGACAAGGCAGCGGTAAAGCCAAAGGGCCCTCGAGGCGAGGTCTTATACACAGGTGCAGCCATCACCATCAGAAGCCGCTGTGGTCAAGGCCTCATGCAAGAGAGGAAAAGGAGACAGTCTGATGTTCCGTGTCTGTCTCGTACAGACGGGGCCGCAGGTATACACAGATGACTAACAACAGAGAAAAGCCACAGGCAGTTCTGCAACCATGTATCGCACATCAGCCATGTGACAGGTCCTGTGCAGGGCATGAACACAGTGGACAGAGCCTGATATCAGGGCTTCCTGACCTGGTCATCCACCCTTCCACCCTTCTGGTGCTTACTGAGCGCGTAGCAAACACATGCCAGTACTGTGTAGGTACCAGAGAGACCGAGAGGGCAAGAACAGGGAAGCATTCTGGAAGGATTAGATACCACTTACTTGAAAACCACTGTGAATTAATCATTTCAATTAAATCCTTATAAAACACTGTGCGGTAGGTATATTGTTATCCTCATGTGACAGAGGAAACTGAGATTCAGAGTGGTTAAGTAGCTTTCCCCAAATCACAAGGAGAATAAACGGCAATCTGGGATTTAAATGAAGCTTTGCCTGGCTCTGAGCCTATGCTCTTAATAAATTAATAGTCATTACACAGTTAATTCAAATATAATGAGATAACTGGTGCAAGAGGTAGAAAATTCACAGGAAGCATAGAGGAAGAGATAACTGTGTATAGAGATAACTGTGTAAGGAGGTAGTCTTTGAGTTTTCCTACTGGAGAAGCAAGGAAAGGAAATTTCAGGTACAGGTAACAAACATATGCACAGGTACTAGAGAACGGAGGGTTTACCTGTGGGAGAATGATAGGAGGAAGATGGGCCTGATCATGGAAGGCTTTGCATGCTGGGCTGCGAGCATCTTTGAGAGGCCCCTGCCTCCTGCGGCAACTCAACCATCCTCCACTCTAGAGCAGAGGCTTTCCCAGGGGCCTCCTTGTCCCGCAAACTCCTTGCAGTGGCTCCTTCTGAGAGCTGCCTGTGCCAACAAATCTAAGGCCTTATGTGTGCGCTCACAATCCCTCCTCTCCAGGCCCCTGCAGACTAACATACTCCAAGATTCTGCTGACAGACTGAGGGCAGAGGCCCCTGGAAACCCCCCAACCACCACAGGGGTGATGAGAGCTGATCAGTCACGTTGGAAGCCAGCTCTCACAGACCTCTCTACAGAGCCAAAGCATTTTCTTATCCTACTCACAGTTTGGAGTCCAGCTTCAAGAGGAAGCCCAACCGATCATACTCTGAAAAAGAAAAGAAAGCAGAAAATGTCACTGAAGGCAAGCTCCTGCTGACACTAGCAGATTGCATTCCCCAGACCTAGACCACGGGGACAGACAACTGCTTCAAGGAACAGATCCAAATACATAAGCAACATAAGTCACCAAACTCTTACTGAACACCTGTTTCGTGAAGCACCAGGTTTAAGCCAGGTAGTCACCAAGACGTCTAGGCAAGCAGTCCTCTGCCGGTTTATAATTATCTTCCTGTTTAAATGTGGGGCTTGAAACTAAAATTCAGTAAACCACAAAACTGGACCCCTGGAAAAGTAAGGGTACGAGTAATCTCTGTTTCCTCTAAGCTCTAAGCACAATTTTTGCTCAATCAGCCACATTAACTATGTAGGAGACATAACACCCAAGGGGTCCTCAAACACAGGGCAATGTTCCCCTTGACAATCACAAAGAACTGACAGATCGGATTACACAGGAATAGGAAATTTAAAATGAAATCTAAAAACTAACTGATAAAATGAACATAACAGTCTGAGGAACGGGGTAGTCCCAGAGACATGGAAGTGACTGACAATCCCCAGAAGAGGGGGTGGGGGTGGAGATAAACCACAGAACTTATGCCCTGGCCGGTTTGGCTCAGCGGTTAGAGCGTCAGCCTGCGGTCCACAGAGACCCGGGTTCGGTTCTCGCTAAGGGCATGTACCTTGGCTGCAGTTTGTCCCCGGCCCTGGTTGGGTCATGTGGGTGGCGGCCACTCGATGTGTCCCTTTCACATCGATGTTTCTCTCTCTTCCTCTCTCTCCTTCCCGCTCTATCTGAGTAAAAAATGGAAAAATGTCCTCGGGTGAGGATAAAAAAAAAAAAAAAAAGAACTTATATGCATGTATGCATGAACAATGGACATGGACAACAAAGCTGGGGACAGGGCGGGGAGGGTGGGGGAGGGGGGAATCAGTGGGGCAAAAAGGAGAAACATCTGTAACAAAAATAAATTAATTAAATAAAACAATAAATAAAATAAAATAAAAACTAACTGATAAGATGTTAGCAAAAAATGATAAATCACTAATATTTTAAGTTCTTTATATCTTGCCTCATTCTAAAATGAAGTTGAAGCAGTTTTTTAAAAAACTGTATGAAGTACAAGATTTTTTTCCCCCTCATCTGATGACATTTTTTGTTCAGATAGAGTGGGAGGGAGAGAGAGAGAGAGAAACATCGATGTGAAAGGGACACATCGAGTGGCTGCCACCCACACGACTAACCAGGACTGGGGACAAACTGCAACCGAGGTACGTGCCCTTAGTGGGAACTGAACCCGGGTCTCTCTGGGCCACAGGCCGACGCTCTAACCGCTGAGCCAAACTGACCAGGGCAAAGTACAAGATTTAAAAAAAAGAAATATGAAGGCCAAAAAGTAAATAAGTATAGGAAAAATAATAAAATGCAGCCAGGATAAAAACAGCACAAGTGGATATCCTAAGACCCCCTGTGCTTGCTGGGGGAGGGTTACAGCTGGCAGTTCCAGCCCAAGGTTTCTCACAGCTAAAACCAAATGCAAAGCACTGGCATAAATGGCTTAGTGTCCAGAAATAAACCAGGAGAATCACAGCTATTCCTAATGCTGAGACTTGGGGAAACTGTCCTCTGTGTCCCCAAAAATATTTGTAGAGGGAAAATGACAGGAAGGGTCATAGGACTATTTCTTATAACTGTTCAATGATTACATTGTGTGTGTGTGTGTGTGTGTGTGTGTGTGTGTGTAAAATAGTATCACCAAAATAAGGTGGTCGCTGAATGCAGTTCTCAGCTGGCCTGGCTTAACCTGAGAGTAAAACAGAACACTAAGACCCAACAGCTAAACGGAAAAGGCGAGGCAGCAAGCCTTTCCAGGAACTCAGCCTTCGGTAAGCAGTGAGTGCCCCAGACAGGGAAGTCACACATACTCACAAGGCCCTCACCAGAGTCCTCATGCAAACCCAGTTAAGGCCACACTTTTGTGCTTTCACAAGCAGCTAAGCTGTGGTGAGAGAGTAGGTCCTCTTCTTAAAACTGAAGATACCGACTAGGACACATAACCCAACAGAAGGCTTGCCTCCCAAGAGAACAGGCTTGGGAAAGTGAAAGCCTTTCCTCAAAATAATTCTGGTTTTGCTCTAACTCAGATAAATGGAAGAGATGCTTTGCTTAATTTCAGAACTTATTTAAAAAAACTAATAAGAAAAACAAAAAGGTTTCAATTAAAAATAATAAAATTTGCAAAAAGTTAGTTTCAAAGCTTAACACTCTTTCAACAATCCTATTGTATCATTCCATGAAAAAGAAAATCTCATTAACTTGCCAAACACCTGCTGCTCCCCCCATCCCCCGCCAGGCAGTCATAACCTTCTGCAACTACCCTGCTATTGCTCCTCAGACCTGAGCTATGACCCCTTTGGCTCCCTTGGATGTAGAATGAATTCACACTTTGGCTGATTCCTTCCAGAGAGGCCACAGAATGTTCTCTCCCTGTTGTACACTCAAATGTCAGGGGCCAAGAAAGACTATAAGATAAATGTATTACAGATGTCCCTCCTTTTCCCCCCATTGACACCCTCCTCCCGCCCCCACCCCTACCCCCAGCCTTTACTGCTGTTTTCTGTATTCCAATGGCATCTTAAGCTTTCTTAAACGCATGCGCGCGCATACACACACACACACATTAATTGCATATTTTTTTTCTTTTTAAATCTTTATTGTTGATTGTATTACAAATGTTCCTCATTTTTCCTTCATTGACCCCCTCCTCCTCACTCCTGCCCCCCTCCTGCCTTTTCCCACATTGTTGTCTGTGTCTATTGGTTATGCATATAAGTTCTTTGGTTTATTTCTTCCCACCCCTCAACCCCCTTCCCTTTGAGGTTTATCAGTCTAGCAACCAATTTATACTTCTTAATCCCTTCACCTTTTTCACCTATTCCCCCAATTCCCCTCCCATCTGGCAACCAACAAAATGTTCTCTGTATCTATGAGAATGCTTCTGTTCTGCCTGTTCATTTTGTTTGTCGATTCAATTGTCGATAGATATGTATTCATTGCCATTTTGTTTGTTCATATATTTTATTTTTTCTTCAAAAAGACCCTTCAGCATTTCATATAATAATGGTTTGGTGCTGATGAACTCCTTTAACATTTTCTTGTCTGGGAAACTCTTTATATGGCCATCGATTCTAAATGACAGCTTTGCAAGACAGAGTAATCTTGGTTGTAGGTTCTTGCTTTTCCTCACTCTGAATATTTCTTGCCACTCCCTTCTAACCTGCAAAGTTTCTTTTGAGAAATCAGCTGACAGTCCTTGTAGGTAAGTAACTGCTTTTCTCTTGCTGCTTTTAAGATTCTCTCTTTGTCTTGAACCTTTTGCATTTTGATGATGATGTGTCTTGGTGTGGGCCTCTCTGGGTTCATCTTGTTTGGGACTCTGTGCTTCCTGGACTTGTATGTCTGTTTTCTTCACCAAGGTAGGGAAGTTTTCTGCCATTATTATTTCAAATAAGTTTTTGATTCCTTCTTCTCTCTCTTCTCCTTCTGGCACCCCCAAGATGCGAATGTTGGCATGCTTGAAGTTGTCCCAGAGGCTCCTTACACTATCTTCATTGTTTTGGATTCTTTTTTCTTTTTGTTGTTCTGATTGGGTGTTTTTTGCTTCCTTATATTCCAAATCGAAGGTTTGCTTCTTGGATTTACATACTCTACTATTGAAACTGTGTAAATTATTCTTTATTTCAGTTGGTGCCTCCTTCATTTCTGACTATGCATCCTTCATTTCTGACTGGTCCTTTTTTATGCTCTTGAGGCCCTCACTAAGTTCACTGAAGTTCTCACTAAGTTCATTGAGCATCCTTATAAGCAGTATTTTGAACTCAGCATCTGTTAGGTTGCTTATCTCCATTCCACTTAGTTCTTTTCCTGGGGTTTTGTTCTGTTTTTTTCATTTGGGACCTGTTTTTTTGTCTCCTCATTTTGGCTGCCTCCCTGTGTTTGTTTCAGTGTGTTACTTAATGTGAGGTATGGGGCTAGCTGAGACCAGGTGCTGCTGGTTTGAAAGAATTTAAGAAAACTGAAAGCAGGTTCCAAGACAGGCCAATCCTATGGTTAAGCAACTGGCAACAGCTTGGGTGGGCCTGAAAGTTGGGTGGGGCAGGGCCTCAGGGAATCACCAGGGCCGGGCTACCAGTGTGAGCCAGGTTGCTGGAGTCCCAGATATGGCGGCTGTCTGCCTCCCCGGGGAAGGGCTCACCAAAGGAACAAAGGCCTCTGACAGCACGTCTGTCCCGGAGAAAACCCCTTCTCCAGCCCTCGCTCCAGTGCTAAACAGCTCAGTTCTTCCCTGTGTCTCTGGTGCCCCTCGAGCTGCCTCCCCTCCAAGCTTAGAGGGAGTGAGTCCGATAAGTCTGTGTGTGGGCCCTTTAAGGAGCTGCCTGGGGCTCCAGCCGCCTCAGCCTCCCTGAGCTTCAGTTCCCGGTGGTTTTTCCAGCCAGAAGTTATGGGGACTTCTCTTCCTGGCACTGGAACCCTGAGCGGGGCGCCTGGTGTGGGAAGGGGACCTCTCAGTCCTCAGGGAGGACCTTCCCAGCCGAGGTGTCCTCTTGATTTTTATCCGCCACACGTGGGTGTGGGACCAGCCCCTCCGCCTCCGCCCCTCCTACTAGTCTCGATGCAGCTGCTTCTTTAATTCTGTAGTTGTAGGACTTCCATTCAGCTTGATTTCAGGCAGCTTTGAATGATGGTGGTTCTGTAGTTTAGTTGTGACTTTGATGTGGTTGTGGGAGGACACGATACCGCATTTACCTACCCGCCATGTTGACTGCAAGTCCATTAACTGCATATTAAACATGTAAGAACACTTCTAAATTTATGTCCCTTCCATGGCTCTCTTAGAGAAAAATGATGTTTTATATCTTTTGTTAAGAGACATGAGTACCAAAAATACTTCACTTTACTCTTTAATTTAAGAAAAGGTAACTGTGTGG